TATGGCAGATACTTTTGTTCAGAGAAGCCATAATATTTTTACTCATAACTTTGGCAATAGTAAATAGATTTCAGTAACTGACCTATCATTTAAAGCGTATAAATAATAATGATAATAATAATATATTTTAATAATAATAATAATTATAATGATAATAATAATAAGAAAAACAGTAGAGAGCATACAGTATCTCCACCCACTGCAAATATATCCCTTTCTAAAAATAAATCCCTAAAAAGGTGTTCCTACTTTCGAACCACAACCACCATCTACAGTACTTTAAAAAAATTACACTTAAACACAAAAGTTGCATTCAAATCAGTTGATGCTTTTTGGGATATCTGATCTGGGACATTTTGCTTTGAATAGTCCATTTATTCTCATCCACACCAAAATTTAATCACTCAATTTTTTCGAATGCCTTTTATTGTATCAGTTGTACACCTGCCAATACCTTACATCTTCTGGCTTTAACACACTGGACCGTCACACTCTTATACCTGACAAAAAAATACATACCATGTATTAGTGTTCAAATGGAAATATGCTAATATAAATATGGGGGTTTGGTTTTTAGCGTCACATTGTATACAGTAGATGTACAGTACAGTATTAAAAATAATTCCCAATCAGTTCCGAAAAAAGTGAAGAAGTTAGTACATATAAAACGCTGTACAACTTTACTGTAATTGCACTAATTTAGATACTCATCATAAACTATTGTTTATGCCTACAGTAATACAGTAAACCTATTTTTTTAAATGGTCCTGGCCTCCATGCACACCCGACTTTGGATCGTCACCAACAATTCAAAATTACTGTATTTTCCTTGTAACTTGATTAAACTTTTACGAAAGTTTCATTCAGATCATTTTACTAGTTTTTTAAATATCTGGTCTGGGACGTTTTCATTTGAGTCATTCTCATATCCATACCCTTTTTTCATTGAAACATGACAAATTATTGTGGAAAGGGAAATTTTGATCCATTGATTATTAGGTGGGACCTTAGGATTTTAAATGACCCTCAAATTTACACCTGAGTCTTGATCGTTATCGACACTTAATAATGTCTTCCTTGTAACTTGGGTAAACTTTCACCAAACTTTCATTCATACCAGTTGATTAGTTTTTGAAATATCTTGTCCAGAATGTTTGCTCTAAAATCCTTTAATACTCACATCCACACCCTACTCCGGACCATCATTTTTTCATTGGGTTATGCCCAATACTCCCTGTTATTTTAATTATGTCTGTGCAGCTGTTTCTCGAGATAATTCAAACACAAACACACAAAGTCATTAAAAGACACCTCAGAAGTCGGGAAAGCTCATTTCCTACCATATAGGAATCAAAATTTTCCAGGGGAGAACCCCTGCACCCCCTTCCTTTTTGAGATTTATCGATACGTATGCAACTCAGTTTTTTTTATGTATACACTTACTGTAATAAGAATGAGAAAAATTAACCTGACCATTTTCAAGAGGGGAAAACCTTGAATTTTGAAGAACTTCAAATTAAAGTCACCTCAGAAATCGTGAAAGCTCATTTCCCGCCATTTAGAAATCAACACATTTCCAGGAGGAACCTGAATCCCCCTTTTACATTGGGGTTCATTGATTCTTGGAATCGTTTTCAAGGGAGGGGGGGGGGATGCTTGAATTTTGGAGTACTTAAAAGTCGTTAAAAGACACCTCAAAAGCCGGAAAAGCTCATTCCCCACTATCTAGAGGCTAACCGTTTTCAAGAGGGGGAAAAACCTTGAAATTGTCATTACGATACACCCATCTCAAAAGTCGGGAAAGCTTATTTCCCAGCCTCTAGGAATCAAAATTTGAGGATCCTCGGACTGCCTTCTTTTTTGGGGTTTTGGAAAAAATTCTGACCCCCATCCCCCCTACATTTGAAGTCAGATCCCCCTAATTCATATTCCCATTTATTTTACTAGTTGGGGGCCCCCTCCCACTTTGAAAACGTTCCACCAGCCCTGTATTCTCAACCAACAATAGTTCTTTCCAGAACTATCTTTGTTGTGTACTGCAAGCATTAATATATAAAAAATGCATACTATCATTTTCATTCTGCATGTAATACTGTATATTTACCGTAATTATGTTATGATTAATAGTACATAAAATTAAAATATTTCACCAAATTTATATATTTTTTTCTAGAATTATAATAAGATTAACGATTAAACATTTTTATATTTATGGTGCATTTGTATTTTTTCCTCCTAAATCTAATTAATGCAATTTATTTTACTATAGAAATTCCATTGCACCTCTGCAACAAGTGGACCAGCCCTGCTTGGCTGAATGGCGAATTTTGCTTCCTCTACTGAATGGTGAGTGTGCTAGAAAAACTTTGTGAATTTTCTTATTATAAATTACATGTCTATTGCAAATTGTTTTGAGGGATAAATAAATGCTAACACTGATTTCAGATTTGATACTTGTTTCTGAAATTCATGTAATAATAGATAACTTTAAATTGTTGTATAAATTTGCGTAAATGTTTCAATTAAAAATAACTTTAAATATTTTCCCTTTCCACTAATAAATTGTATAAATTTGCATAAATGTTTCAATTAAAAATAACTTTAAATATTTTCCCTTTCCACTGGACTTATAGATTATTGTGTAAACGTTTCAATTAAAAAACTTTACATATTTTCCCTTAACTTTAAATATTTTCCATTTCCACTGGACATATAAATTGTTTCAATACTTTAAATATTTTCCATTTCCACTGGACATATAAATTGTTTCAATTGCAAATAACTGAATATTTTCCCTCTCCACTGGACTTAAAAATTATTGTGTAAATGTTTCAATTAAATATAACTGAATATTTTTCCTTTCCACTGGACTTATTGCTCTAATTTCTTATTCTTTCAGAATTTGGCAACTGGTGATTTGGCAATTGAAGCTTTCTATTTAGATTCTTTGCAATTTGTTATTGTATTGGAAATATTTTGAATAAATAAATATTCATTATTGTATTGGAAATATTTTGAATAAATAAATATTCATTGCATTGTAATTCAGTATTGTTTGCAATTCAGTATTGTATTGGAAATATTTTGAATAAATAAATATTCATTGTATTCAATTGATTATTGTTTTTCTTCTCGAGCATTGTGAAAAAGCAGGATGGCAAAAAAAAAAAAGCGCCCTCGAATTGAAAAAGGCCCTAAATATGACTAAGTTATTTGGCCACAATAATCTGTCCGGTTCTGATAAAAATAGTGAAGAAAATCGCCCTAAATAGCCATTTTAATTCAAAGTTTTTTAGGGCGTCTTAACTGTCAATGGCAGTAAGCGCCCTCTAACATCCAATTTTTTTCAGAATAGCATAAAAACTGGCCATTAGAGGGCACTACCACCTTATTAATTAAATTAATGACAAATAAGAGACCACCGAAAAACGTTGAACTAAAATGGCTATAGAGGGCGATTTTCAGCACCACACAGGACCCCTTTAAATAGTTTTAGAGACCCTGGAAATTTTGGCTTTCTATCGGAGGGCACCCTTCAGCACCACTTTTAATAGAAATTGAGAGACATGGGAAAAATTAGCCTTTTTCTATTGGAGGGCGCTTTTTTCATCTTACCTGCATCCATCAGTCAAGCCATCAGTCTTCAAACTTGAACAGCAAAGAAACATCAAAACACTGATATTTTTTTTTAATTATCTTCATAACCAAAATCACGTAATGAAAATTATTAGGCATCAACAATTCATTAGATGGAAAGTTAAAATGCAAGTTATAGTACAGTAGTTTTCTGGTTCTCTTAGTATTAGTCAGTTCATATCTTCTGCACAATATAATCAGTTTTTCAGAATGAAGCAATTGATGTCTTGATGCTGCAACAACTTACCTGCATCCACCAATCTTCAAACTTGAACAGCAAAGAAAAGTCAACACACTACTTATATTTTTTATTATCTTCATAACCAAAATCACATGAATTATTAGGCATTAACAATTCATTATATAGTTTAAATGCTCTGCTAGTAATCATAGTAGTTTTCTGGTTCTCTGGTCTGATTGTAATTAGCCAGTTTATATCTTCTGTACAATATACTCAGTTTATTTCAGAATTAAGCAATTTTTGTCTTGATGCTGCAACAAACAATACAACCGCAACAAATAATACAACCGCTTTCACCGGGATTACGCCATCAAAATATTCAGCAAGATGTTAGCAAAACTTCTGTATTGTATTAGGCATGACAAATTAAATTAACTAATTTAAATTAAATTGCCTATATTAGACAAAATTAATTATAATAGGTTTCTCTTTCTTGTCTTCCTCTGCAGCAGTACTTTTCCTGTCTTGCAACTATGTTACTGCATCCACCAAAAATAGATTCTAAAAAAAAATTTAGACACAAACATGAATTAAACAAAATTAAATGTAATAATAAAGTTAATAATTTCATAAACCTTCAGTATATTTCACTTAATACTTACAGTATTATTAATTCTTTGATGAATACCAAAAGTTACTTATCTATCTTGCAGAGAGTTGTCTGTCATCTGCAAAAAAAAAATCATTTTTTTTTGTATTCTCAGTGACTTTCACAAATACTGATTTGAAAAAGCGCAAGCTCAGTGTTGTAGTGGTTAGCGCCAGGCTAGTTATTTGGTGCGTGAATCTCATTTCCATATACTGCTGAGTACTTTAATACCATTCAATGCTGGTTTTTATGTTAAGAATATTTTAGTTCATCATACTGAATGCTCAGCATGTTCCATACTACTTGCAAGTAAAGTCATTTGGGTAGGAATTGAACAACTGAGCTTATGCTATAGTGGCTTTGTGTTGAATCTGATTTAAGCAAAAGAAATCTTGCAAGAGTCCAATTTCCAAGTAGCATCAAGTAGGCCTACTGTGATGCTTTTCAATTGTTTTATTTTTTTCCAAACACCATCAAATATAATTCTCACAAACAGTATTGTATTGCCGCATCAATATGCACCCTTGTCAAACAGGCATGATTGCATATGCTTTGACACTTTAACATTGACTGGATGCTCCTCCACCTTCCTTTACCAGGATTATCGCACTATTCAGCAAATGTTCTAACAAAACTTTGGTACGCTTTTCACGTCTTGCTGCATGGGCCATGCTCTGTTGCTTTATCTGCCAAAAAAAATTTAAAAAAAGAAACAGTAAGGTTGAGACATGGTAATTTTAAGGAACAAAGAAATGATATCATCAGTCGGAAGATTCAATGGACTTTATTTTGGATTTTTAATGGGGTAGAAATAGGGAAGGTCCACCATTACAGTTAAGCATTATCTCAGACCTCCAATGGAGGTCTGAGATTATGCTTAACCATGGCCATGATGGCCGTTTGACGTATGACATGGCTGGCGCAACCGGGGGACTGGGGGTAGGGGCGCCCCCCCCCCCCACACTTTTTGGCAGAAAATGTATACTGTAATGTCTATGGAGATTTTTGTATTTTTGTATGATCAGAGAGAAATGCAAGAAAAGAAAGAGGAGATCGAGCGGAAAGAGAGTGTTTATCCAGTCCCCAACCGAGTTACATTTTCTCATTGGCAGATCTTGGGTGTCAGGGGTCTTGATCCCCCTCCCGTAATCAAAAAATAAATAAAAACTTCTAGGTCTACCGTTTCAGGACCCTGTGAGACCCTGTGTTTTAAAGAAAATTAGAAGTCAGGAAAGCTCATTTCCCACCATCTAGGAATAAAAATTTTCATGGGGGACAGGGAGACCACCGACCATTTTTTTATTTTTGGGGTTTATCGGTTAATATGTATTTAGGAATGTTTATGTTACTTGCATTGCATTTCAATATTTGTTTAATTATGCAACTGTACAACTTTGAAAAACAGTACACAAGTACTGAAAGTGCAGTATAAAGAGAATAAATAAATAAAATATCCTTGTACTATAAAAATAAAAAAATATTTATTAACATGATTTTGCAAATTAATTTTCATCAGCGTGTACAAGTATATAAAATGCACAGGCCTACCTAATCACATCAAAAATCCTTTTCGAAACAAGCCACGTTCGTCCGCTCAAGTCTATTTCCACCATGCCATGCACACCTACAAAGAAACTGACTCGTATTGTTTGATAACGGAACTTAAAAGTCTAAAAAAAAAATACAAATTGCAATTGTTTTATTTTAACACATACAATACATAGGCCTACCTCGTTTTGTTGATACGTACATCACAAATATACCCCATAATCATAAACAATGGTATTTTTTTGGCTAAAATACAGCTTGTCCACAATATCCGCCATCAACTCGTGTCAAGCAGTTCTTTGGAACTCACAATCTGCTACACAGGTGGGTGCGTCCAGGATATTAGGTGAAAATGGCCACAAGAATTACTAAAGTTTAATTATTGGAATAAATAATCTTTATCCAAGGGTATAAATACAGATTATATATTTCCTTTTCCACATTGGCGTGTACAAATATACACAGACACATACGAAATTCAATTTTGACTATATTGTATTATGAAGTTCAGATATATAATGGTTCTTTATGAGTTCCTAACAGTACCATTATTAAAACACAGGGTTTTTTCATCTTGCCAGTCAGGTGTCCAGGTAACACAAAACAAATCTTTTATTTACCACCACACCATGCCATCACTGTCACGGAGAACAGAAACTGGATGCGAACCAACAGTACCTGTGGAAACTGGCATTCTCTTAGTAAATTGTACAAGCTGCGCTCATAATAGAAAAAAATGCTCACGTGTAGGCGTTACCTGACTACCCTCTTCATCTATGCAGCAGCAGTCATCTAATGATGCTACTGTCCTTTCAACCATGCAAGCACTTATGTCTGGTTTATATTTATCCACTTCTAGATCTTCATTACTATCTTCTTCATGGAAAGTAGATTTCGGTTGACATGTCTTGGAATAAGATAAACCGGCACATTTGTCTGTACTGCCTGCAGTTTCTGGTAACGTATCCAACTCCGACTCCTATAACAACTATTATTGGATTTAGACAATGCTAAAAATTGACAATTTCTTTCCAATACCTATGGTACTTGATATCACAAATAAAAAGTTACAGGCACGAGTTTGCTTACCATTTGAGATAGGAATGTAGCTCTCACGCTAGGGTTTACTGGTTTTGAGGTTGCATTTGGTATGGGTTTTAAAACTGGATCCCTAAAGTTAACCAAACTTTTCTCCACTGCTTCGGAAATTTCAGCCATAGCAGTTAAAAAAGGCTCTCGGCTGACTTTCCCAAAGTAAAAGTGCCTACTCACGCCCACATCTATCTGTAAACTGTTCTCGTAGCAAAATGTCATAACTTGTCTGCATCTGCTAATTCTATCCATCTAGTCAAAGCATCTTTCAAATTGCCGCAAATTAATGCCCACTTTCTCCAGCGTCTTGCAGATGTCGATACCCATCATCATGGTCAACTGGAAATGTTTAAAAAAGCAGTTTAAATAATCTGTAATCATTTGCTTCGGCTGTAGATAAACTAAAATAAATTTAAAGAGATTTTCCTGTTAATAAAGAACTTGCATTTACCTGTACTGCCAAATCACGTGGCATACCTTTCATATCATTTTAAATAAGAATCCAGATCATTCTTACCTTCATTAAATGCTGGTAATTTCAGTCTACTTGCCTTAATTTTGGACGATCCAGTTTAAGGACAGGTAGGCTAATATTCTGCCCGACTTGGGTTTGTTCTTTTCATCAGTGTTCTTGTATAGTATTTTTTCCTGGACGAGTAATCTACATCTACTACCCTCTTCATCTATGCAGCAGCAGTCATCTAATGATGCTACTGTCCTTTCAACCATGCAAGCACTTATGTCTGGTTTATATTTATCCACTTCTAGATCTTCATTACTATCTTCTTCATGGAAAGTAGATTTCGGTTGACATTAAATGCTGGTAATTTCAGTCTACTTGCCTTAATTTTGGACGATCCAGTTTAAGGACAGGTAGGCTAATATTCTGCCCGACTTGGGTTTGTTCTTTTCATCAGTGTTCTTGTATAGTATTTTTTCCTGGACGAGTAATCCCAAAAAATGTCACACAGCCTCTCAGAAACTATCTAACAAAGGTCCGAACATACTCAAGAGACACAAAAGTTCACAACAGAAATAATTACCAAAAATGATTACTGATGTATTTCTGAGAAAGTGCACCCACCAGCCTAATGTTGGGGAATCAAGTGGGGCCGATGAAGATAACACTATCCTAGGGGGTCCCTTTTTTGCGATCAATGTTTTCTTTTTTTTTTTTTTTTTTTTTTTTTTTTGCTTTTTATAAGGAAGGGGACAGTAAATCTGCATTAACATATGTTTTCAATCTCATTAACAAAGCCATAGCAGTTAATAAATAATACTGGTTAAGCATCAATGTTCTAACACTATAACTTTATCAATCGGCCCTTCCAAAACTTTAACGAAATATTATGTTACCAAAATACAATAATAATTTGTTCACGATTTTAACATTTTCCTTATGGCCTTTTAGCTCTATCACATTAGATTTAATCATCTACACTATATATATACTGTCTCTTATACACATCTAGATGTGTATAAGAGACAGAATATACACAGACACATACGAAAGGCATCAAAATTATATAAAAACATGAAAAGGATATTGACTGGGAAAACATTTAAGGATAAAAAACACAGGAAATTACAAAAAGCAACTTATTTCACCGTGGTCCCTAAATGAGAATACTAAAATAACAGAAAAATAATAATAGAACTATAAATATGGAAACAATACATTAAATACATTTTAAATACTACAGAAAATTCAAATTTGAAACATCATCAACTATTTCAACTATATTGTATTATGCCTGTCTCTTATAATATGGTTATGATAATAATAATAATAATAATAATAATAATTATATATACATAAATATATATACATATATATACACACATATATATAAATACATTTATATATATACATATATATACATAAATATATATATGTATACATATGTATATGTATGTATATATAGTATAATGTGTTATTTAGTGTTTTCTTATTCTGTATTTAATGTGTTGGACCACAATGGAAATATGTTACAGAATTTTATAAAATGAAATAAACAATTAGTCTATATATAATACAATATACAATTAGCCTATATATAATACACAATAAACAATTAGCCTATATATAATACAATTAGCCTATATATTTGGTTCTGAATCAGACTGTTATAATCAATTAAGAAATTTTTCTTGATTTTTTTTAAATATTAAACAGAATTCCATGGTCGAAAATGTTTTCAGTAGACCTATTATTTTAAAGCACCTATTTACATCATCCGTTAAAAAGTCCATCTTTATTTTGAAAAATGAATTATGTTTTGTATTTGTATTCCAGTTTGTAAAAAAAAAAATTGAAACCCTGTGTTCCTCCTCCTATTAGAACAAATACGGAGAAGAGATGAGAAAAAGTTAAATATTGATAGACAAAAGATGAGGGGAAGGTAAAATAAATCAACATGTGAAACAAGAAAAATAGCACTGTTTTTCAGAAATGGCACTCTAAAACTGCCAAAAAAAAATTTAAAAACTTTTTTAAAGCAGTGTTCCATGCCAAAATTATGGCTTCTCCTCGTCAATGTTCTGCAGGGCCACCGAGATGGGGGGCGCAAGGGGGAAAGATCCCCGGGCCCAAGATCTTCGGGGCACAGGCATACCAGGGGCCCCATACAGACTGCAGGTAGCATTTTTTCCTCCATATTTAAAAAAAAAATATATTAATTGCTATCCCTCAATAATGTCATGGGTCCTCTAATAATGGGCCTCTCCAGATTGACTGGGCCCCCTTAAAAAATTGTTGTGCCTTCACCGCAATCTATCCTGCGCTTCGCACATGTAACTGGGGCCCACACCAAACCTTGCCCCTGTTACAGTTTCCCCTCTTGGTCGCCCTGGTGTTCTGTACTGCTATACCCAGGGCAGATTATGTTTTTAATCTAAAGCAATAGTCATTGCATTTGTGGTACATGGTTTTTATCAAAATAGTTAATAATTTAATGTATCATTGATTATTCCGAGTTTTGGATGGAGGGGTAATAAATCGTGAAAAGCTTTATTATTATTTTATCCTACAAAAATTTTCAAGAAATAAGGTGCAATTACATGAAAATTACTACATGTATGCAAAAATTATAACCAGCAGGGGTTTGGAAATTCAAGTTCACTTGTTCACAATATTTCAACAAATTTTATAACATCAGCGTCGCAGACGTACAGACGAACATCCAGATCATTTCAAAGGTTCCTACTACTTTACAGCATAGGAACCAATAAACAAGAAACGGGGAAATTAATCAAAGTGTATTAGTACTACTAATTTCAACCATAAATATTGAAAAAAAAAAAATTTTATGAGAAAATTTATCTTTAAATTTAGCAATTATCCACAGCCATAATTACACAGTTCATGTTTTTGTAGAAACACTTATTAACAAAATAATAAGCCTGGAATTAAGTGTATTATAATGCATTATTATAGAGTATAGTCTATTTTAATAATAAAATATATTCTAATCAAAGAAAACCACCTAAAAATAAAATCAGAGGCAATATGAGAAGCAGAACAGAAAAAAAAACAGGACTGAATAAAATAGTTTTTTTTTTTTTTTCAAAGGCGTAGACTATTTTATTCGCATATGAAGACTGATTAAATTCAGATACAAGAAATCATATATTTCATAATATCTTTATGTCTTTAATGGTAGTGCTTTAATTGCAACTTGTTTGATGAAGTTTTATCGTTTTAAGTACTTCCCTACCATGTTAATGTAGGCCTATGGTTTATAGATAAAATTGATAGACTTTATTATTTTAATTTATTTATTTTGAATACTCAGTGTAAAAATATTGGTCATTCAAATTCTTGGAGGTTTAGTCTGGTCCAGTGCCGGCATATCTATAATGGGGGATATGTTCCCCACAAAAAATATATTCGGCCTCCCCCCCTCCCCCTCCGCCCTTATTGAAAAATATTCAAAGCAAAAAATTCACATTGAAGTAGTTAAAAATCTACCTGAAATCACCTAATCTTGCAAGTTAGCGCCTGGTTACCTAGTCATCAAGCACCCACTTCACCTTCGTGGGCCACGCCCTTCCAATTATCACCTTATTTCAAGACTCCTAGACAGGAGCAGATCCCATAGATGTATTTATATTCCTGTTCAACTATGGATAGTTTATTCCTGTCTCTTATACACATCTGGGAGGGGAAGAGGGGAGGGGGACACTAGTTTCAAAATAGGTAGGCGTAGTAAACCACATAATATTGATTTGCATTGAAATTTTTAAAATTTAGTAGAAAAACAGACCCTTACTGGATCCACCCCTGCTTGATACACCACTGGTATGGCCCTCAGATATTAGTAGATAATAGATATTCTATATAATGTGGCCTAGGAAAGAAATGATTAAAAGCAGTGCTCTATACTCACAACTATTCTTGTCGAAATTGCCTAGTCCTAGTTCATTTAGAACCTACCTTGCACTCGCCACAAAGCAAGCAACTCATATTTTTTGGCGTTTGAAATATACATCTCAAATATTTGATTATGGATATATACATCACAGAAATATACTATAATACAGCAAATTATGGAGTTTTCTGTAAGAATACATCATATCGACCATATCTGCCATTCCGAGTTCACGTGGTTCTTTTGGCATTTTTTTTTGGTCCACACAGGTGGTACGTCCAGAATATTTAATGAAATGGCCGCAAGAATGCTGAAGCAAGTACCATTCCTCTGAATGAACAAGTCATGTTTTTGTCAATTTTAAGCGTACAACTATATGAAAATACATACCTTAAAAACACATTAAAAATCTTGTCAGAAAAAAAAAAGAAAAAAAAAAACCTCAGCGTCCGACCGAGTGTACGCCATGCTATGCACGTCACATGGAAACTGACTCGTACTATTATTGGCTAATGGGACTTAAAATCACTAAATATTGTTAGTTACACGTTTTCTTTTAATACTAAAGCCTACCTTAGTAGTTTTGTTGATACGTACGAATATACTTTACACCTATAATCATAAACAAAATATGGTGGTGTTTTTTATTGCTAAAATACACCTTGTCCACCATTTCCGTCGTCACGTCAATTCATGTCACGCGGTTTTCTGGAATTTCAAAATTCATGCTCTGCTACACAGGTGGTAATTATTCAGGATATTAGGTGAAAATGGTCACTGAGGACTGAGGTTGAATTGGAATATCACGTACAATGGTGTATTTCTATATTAGGTAATACTGTATCATCTTATGAATCAAAACGTATAAATACAGATTGGAAACTGTGGAAAGTTTCCACTTGCGCGTGCAAGTATATAAAAGTAGGCCTATATACGAAACAAAATAAAAAAACTTCAATAAAATATTAAAATGGTAAAATACCGGTAGGTAAAGATGTATTACTGTAATTAAAAAAATAAGTAAAATTCTCCTAAATTAAAACACTGTTTAATTAATATACTTTGATATTTTTAATACTATAAATTGAGTTCTTATGAGGAAGACCCTTCAATACCAAATTGGTCCCCGACGAGAGCAAAGTCGGCGTGGTCATGTATCAATTAAAATGTTTCAAAAGTGGTTCAGGGGTTTCAATGGCATATTTAATCGATTTTATATATAGATACTCTACTAACGGTAAGTAGAAAATACATAATTTTTCCCCCCGACGAATTTTGGTTTTTCTTCTGTTTTGGGGAGGGGCCGGGGAAACTGGAGGAGGGGGAAAGAAAATCCCACCAACCCCGTAGCGCCGCCATTGATTTTTAAAATTAAACTAGCTTCAAAATTCGGTTTTGGGGTAAAAATGTGTAATATTTGATTAGTTTTTGATCAAATTTGGCATTAAAATCTAAGATTCAACGTGGCAACAGTCATTCCAAGGCATAGTATTTCTCATAAATACAATATAGATCATTAAATTTAGCCAAAAAGTCATCAAAAGTTTTTCTTGGCACTTTTCGGGTCACAACATTAACATGATATGTCATCAAACACATCATTAAATAGCTTTCGTATGATACAAAATATCTTCAAATTGCATTTTGTAGTTACATACTAGCTTCACAATAACATTTTGGGGTAAAAAGTGTAACATTTCCCATTTTTTTGGCGGGAGATAACGACATACTTAACTCCGAAATACGAAATGGATGATGTCTGAATTTTTTTTATGCGTTCAGTTTTTGAGAACGTATCAGACAGACAAAATGTTGTTAGCTTTCTTTTCGTATTTATATAATAAAACACTTATTATATAATAAAATTTAGCGAAGTCATAAAAATATGTTTTTTCGTAGTTTTTTTGCGTCAAAACATTAACATAATGTGTTATCATTCACATCATTCGATAAATAATTTTAATAGCAAAAATATTCAAAATGAATCTCCTAGTGACCATGTAGCTTTAAAATACTATTTTTGGGTAAAATAGGCCTACGTACAATTTGTAATTTTTTGATCAAATTGGCGTGCCAACAGCCCATTCCTTGTGAGCTAAGAGCTGGTGATGAGGATTCACGTTGTTGCCAGCTTGTAACAAACGATGCCCACGAAAACATAGGCTATATTTGAGCAATTTTAACTCGTTGGGACTCGTCTATAAATAGCTGTGTCAAGTGAGTGAACACCACGGCATCTGTTCAGCAGGCCTATACTCGTAGTCAATATGAGAATTACATATAAATGTGAGGACATTATATAATCAGCTGTAGTCATGTTTTCCTCTGTACAATAAATATGGTACACTGGGGATTATATAAACGTGAGGACATTAATCAGCTGTATTCAAGTGAAAGGAAATAATGCCCTCAGTTCAGTCCTCTATTGTCAATATAGGCTAGTAACCTGCGGATTGTATATAAAAGTGAGGACATAATCATTTGTAGGCAATTGAAAGGAAAAAATGGCCTCGGTTCCCCTATACGCAAAACTATACAAATTATGATATAAAAGTGTGGTCATTAAGGAAATCACGGTGCCTGTTAGTCCTCTATACAGTCATTATGGTACATTGATGGGGGTGGACAATGGGAGATAAAGGACCGTCCCCTCCTATTTGATTTTTTTTTTTGCATTAGTAGACTGCTAGACGATCTTAGATCCTCTGGCATCTCAAAAGAAGTAAGCTTAGAATAGAAAGTGTATGTTTACCAGAGACAGACAAGACGATCGGTGACCATTATTTTTTTCACAGTAAACGGAGGGGGGAGGGGGTGGAAAGCCACCCTATTCACCCCTCTAGATCCGCCACTGCTTTAAGTGGTTATCAACCTGCAGAGGACAATGGTGGGGAGCTCATGGTTTCTAATGTTTAACCTGATCGTTTTTCCCAGATTCGGCCACATAGGCCTAATTCCGGATATCACAAATTTTCATCGTTATTAATATCAACCTGCAGAGCATTCTTGTGATCTGTTAGGTGTCATGGAATACAAAATAATTGTAAAATGGCGGGATGAAAAATCGTTCAAAGAAAAAGTATGAGCTATAGCCTATGGTTTTTACCAAATATTGGCCAATTTTTAACCTGGTCGTTTTTCCTATATTCGGCGACATAGGCCTAATTGTAAGCTTAAAACGAGGCTTTAAGTGGCTTTTATCAACCTGAAGATGACTGTTGTGACCTTTAGGTGTCATGGAATACGAAACAACTGGAAAATGGCAGGGTCAAAAAAACTCGTCCAAAAAAATTCTGAGCTATAGCCAATTTTTAACCTGGTCGTTATCACAGATTCGGCCACATGGTCCTAATTCAGTATCATTCATCATCGTTATTTAAGTTTAAAACTAGGCTTTAAGTGGCATTAACAACATGCAGAGGATTCTTGTGATCTGTAGGTGTCATGGAGTAAGTACGAAATAATTGCAAAATGGCGAGGGTAAAAAAAAACCGTCCAAAAAAACAGTATGAGCTATTAGCTCATGGTTTTTACCAAAATTGGCCAATTTTTATCCTGGTCGTGTTATCATAGATTCGGCATCATGGGCCTAATTGATTATCATCCGATTTATCGTTATTTAAGCTTAAAACTAGGCTTTAAGTGGCATTTATCCGTAGGTGTCATTGAATACGAAACAACTGGAAAATGGCGGATCTAGGATTTAGAAATGGGGGTGAATAATGGGAGGTGAGAAGAACCGAGGCGGGGGGAGTGGTTTTGCCACTGGAGAAGCAGACACACAAGACGAGTGGTCATTTTTCTTTTCACTGTAAACGAAAGTGGGGTGGGGGGATCAGCCGACATATTTACCCCCTAGATCCACGACTGCGCATTGGTATCCTTGTTTTATATTAGTTCTATTAATCTGATTAATTACAGCGTTACAGGGAGTGAAGTTGTTTTATGAGAAGAAAATAATTAATAAGATTAGGATTGGAGGCAAGCTTTAATCACCGAGCTACAACCCCAATCCCCTCTACATAATGGACCTTCCCGCTACGCCCCGCCCCTTGAACATCGTGGCCGGCCCTGGTCCCTCCTTTTGGAAAGTGAAAAAAAAAATGATCGCCCAAAACGCATCAGAGGTTATTTTTGGGCGTCTAGAAAACGACGCTTTTCAAGAGGGCATGTCCCACACTGTTAAAAATAAAGGTGCAACTAAAGGTGCAAAGATAGAAAATGGTGCACAGTTGCACCTCTTTCTTATAAAAAGGTGCAGAGAGGGTGCAGAGTTCAAATAATCGATTAAAAGGTTCATCTTTGCACCTTTTGTTATCGGAAAATGAAGATGGTGCAAAAATGTACCTTTTTATAGTAGAAAGGAACAAGTCTAGCTTTGTCAAAAGCTAGTATTAGTTACATTACATTACATTACATTAGTTACCAAACATGTTCTGTTTGGGTTTCATACCAGTGTTCGACACAGAAATGTGGTGTAGGCCTATTACCTTGAAAAATGTTTCAATATAGGCCAGCATTAATTTCTTTAGACAAGCAGGTTCTGTAAAGCCTATTTGATTTGGTTGAGTATCTGTAGGGCCTACAATAACGGAGAGCGTCATTCAATAAAATTAAGCAATGACAGATTTTTCATGGCTTTACATCAGTGCTAGCAGTGCTAGTCCTACGTAAGTAGGCCTATATTTAAAATGAAAAACCACTGGTAGTCCTTCACTTATCCTATTATCATGAAACAGTTAAATGGATATACATAAAACACGGGTGATTTAGTTGCCGTGTGGTAAAAAAAAGGGCATGGTTGACTCAGAAGGTGCAACTTCAAGTGGTCTGAAAATCTCATTGGGTTCATTATTACCACATCAAGGGTGCAAATTCGTAACTTGGGGCTCAACTTAGTACTTGCAGGGTTCACAACAGCACCACAAGGTTCAAATCAGCACCTATAGAGGTCCACTTGAGCAACTTAGCAAGTTCACATGAGTACCTTATCAAGTTAACATAAGTACCTTTAGCAGGTTAAAGCTTGGTTTCCATAAAAATCGCTATTCGCTAATTACCCACAGCTTTTGGTTGGTGTCCAAACATCGCTAACACTTTCAACCGTTGCAGACAAAACAGGATCATGTGCCCACCCCGCCACCCCGATTCGTCTGCAATGCAATAATCAGCAAAGTTGAACCAGGTTCAACCTTCCCGACAACTGTCGGCGACTGTCGCCGATAGTGCGATTTTATGGAAACCAAGCTTTGTGCTGATTGGTCGGTCGAATCAGGGAGCCTTCCCGACTGCGTCGGGGCTGCTACGCGTTACAACGTCGTTACAAATATTAGGCACCTTGAGTAATCACAGTACATTACGGGTTCAAATCAGCACCTAACAGGTTTACATGAGCCCCTCGCCTGGTTGAAATTGACACCTCGGCAGGTTCGCATGATTGGTTAGTAAATCCACCTTAGCAGGTTCACATGAGCACCTCAGCAAGTTCACATGAGCACCTTATTAGCAGAAATAACAGTTAAATCTCGTCGTGTGCGGCGGGCTTTAAAGAAGTGCACGCGCGTACGACGAATGACAGTTAGGCGCGTGTAATAA